AATGCAAACCAAAACAACTCAGAGATACCATTTTACTCCTGTCAGAATGGCTAAAATCAAAAACACCAAAGACCTTTTATGCTAGAGAGGATGTGGAGAAAGGGGCACACTCCTCTACTGCTGGTGGGAGTGCAAACTGGTACAGCCACTTTGGAAATCAGTATGGCGGTTCCTCAGCAAAATGGAGATCAGTCTACCACAAGATCTAGCAATCCCACTCTAGGCACATACCCAAAAGATGAACATTCATACAACAAGTACATCTGTTCAACTATGTCAAAGCAGCACTATTTGTAATGGTCAGAACGTAGAAGCAATGCCCATAAATGCCCCTCAACTGAAGAATGGATGCAGAAGATGTGGTACATTTACACAATGGAGTACTACTCAGCACTAAAAAACAAAGGACTCTTGAAATTAGCAGACAAATGGTTAGAACTAGAAGTTACCATCCTGAGTGAGGTAACCCTGTCACAAAAACAGAAACATTGAATATACTCACTCATATATGGATTTTAGACAAAGAGCAAATGATTACCAGTCTGCAATCTACACTGCCAGAAATGCTAGGAAACTAGGAGGACCCTAAGAGAGACCTATATGGTCCCCCACAGAAGGGGAAAGATTTTATGAGCAAACTGGGAACACAGTGGGATGGGAGAGGGAGTTAAGAGAAAGAGAAGGGGAGAAGAAGAAAAAAGAGGAGGACATGAGGGAGTAGGAAGATTGCACCAGGGAAAGAATAGAGGAGAGCAAGAAAAGAGATACCATATTAGAGGGAGCCATTATAAGTTTAAAGAGAAATCTGTCAGTAGGAAAATGTCCAGAGATCTACAAGGATGACACCAACTAACAATTTAAGCAATAGTGGAGAGGCTACTTTAAATGTCCTTCTCCAATAATGAGATTGATGACTACATAATGTGTCATCCTAGAGCCTTTATCCAGAAGCAGACACTCACAGGTAAACACTAGCCAAACTCCTGGAATCCAATTACAGAGAGGAAGGAGTGATGAGTAAAGGGGTCAAAACCAGGCTGGGGAAAACCACTGAAACAGCTGTCCTGAACAAGAGGGAGCTCAAGTACCCTAGTCTGATACCTGGGAAACCAGAAAAGGACTCCCAGACCCTGTGAATGTGAGTATTAGTTAGGAGGACTTGGCAGTCTATGGTTCCTCTGGTAGTTAATGAATTTTTATCCTTACTATTTGAATGGACTTTGGGAGCCAATTCCACATAAAGGGATACTTTCTCAGCCTAGACACATGGGACAGGGCCTGGACCCTGTCCCAAATGATGTAACAGACTTTGAAGATCCTCCATGGAAAGTCTCACCCTCCCTGAGGAGGAGAAAGGGGATGAGATGGAGTTTGCAAGGGGTGGGTACAGGGCAAGAGAGGAGGGTGGGGGAACTTAGATTGGCATGTAAAACATTCTTGTTCCAAATTTAAATTTAAAATATACATCAAAGAGACAGTGAAAGAAAGAGAGAGAGACAGAGAGAGAGTGTGTGTGAGAGAGAGAGCAGCATGAAATGTACTACTGCAGGCAAAGCCTATGCTCAAAGTGATAAAATGTTTAAAGAAAGAACTGTTTCAAATGGAATAGAGTGATGCCCTCATAGCAAAACCCCAACCAACTAGACTTCCAACTTGTGAAAAATAAAGGAAAGCTTAAGCAGCAAAGGAAACAATCAACAACAGAATGCTTATGCAAATGTAATTGAATGATGGAGCTAGGTTCCAGCCCTAACAAGCATAATAACTAGTCAGTTTAGAGCACCTAGTTCTGGATTTAGAGTGAAGAAAGGTACAGGAACCTCCTAGAAGAGAAAGTGGGAGGTAGCCTTGAACAAATTGGTATAGGAGAGCACTTACTGAATATAACTCCAATAGCACAGACACTGAGATTGACAATTAATAAATGGGAGGCAAAGGACACAGTTGACAAGACCAAACAGCAGCCCACAGACTTGGAAAAGACTTTCACCAATTCTACATCTGATAGAGGGCTGATCTCCAAAATATACAATGAACTCAAGAAATTAGTCAAGAAAACACCAAATAACCCTGTTAAAAAATGAGGTACAGAACTGAATAGAGAACTCTCAATAGAGGAAAACAAAAAGGCTGAAAGATACATAAGAAATTGCTCAACATCCTTAGCTACCAGGGAAATGCAAATCAAAACAACTTTGAGATACCATCTTACTCCTGCCAGAATGGCTAAAATTAGAAACACCAATGACAGTCTGTGCTGGAGAGGATGTGGAGAAGGGAACACTCCTCCACTGCTGGTGGGAATGCAAACTTGTACAGCCATTTTAGAGATCAGTATGGCAGTTCCTCAGGACCTGGCAATGCCCCTCTTAGGCATGTTCCCAAATGATCCACATCCATGCAACAAAAGCATGTGCTCAACTATGTTCATAGCAGCATTATTTGTAATAGCAAGAATCTGGAAGCAACCTAGATGCCCCTCAACTGAAACATGGATAAAGAAAATGGGGCACATCTACACAATGGAATACTACCCTGCAGGAAAAAAAAAAAAAAAAAAAAAAAAAACAATGGAATGTTGAAATTCGCAGGCAAGTGGTTGCAACTTGAAAAAAACATCCTGAATTAGGTAACCCAGTCACAAAAAGAGGAACATGGTATGTACTCACTCATATATGGATTTTAGACATAGAGCAAAGGATCACCAGCCTATAATTCACACCACCAGAGGAACTAGGATGCAAGGGAGATTCTAAGAGTTCATATAAAGTCCCTCACAGAAGGGGGAAGGGTCGCATTCTCCAGAGACCATGAGGAGTGGGGAGGGCAGTGAGTGGAGAGGGAACTAGGAGATGGGGAGGAGAGGAAAGCATGTGGGACTAGGAAGATTGAGTTAGGGGAGGAATAGAAGACAGAAAAAGGAGAGAGATACCATAAAAGATGGAGCCATTATAGGTTTGAATGGAAAACTGAACCTAAAGAAATGTCCAGAGACTTACAAGATTGACCCACAACTAACAATTTGAGCATCAGTGGAAAGGCTACCATAAATGGCCTTCCCTGATAATGAGATCAACGACTAACTTATCCACCATCATGGAGCCCTCATCTAGTAGCTGATGGAAACAGAAGCAAACACCCACAACTAAACACTGACCTGAACTAGAATCCAGATGCAGAGATGGAGGACAAGACTAGGCTGCAGAAATACATAGAGACAGCTTACTTGAACAAGGAGGAGCTAATGGGCCCCCAGACTGATAGCTGGGACTCAGACACCCTGAACATGGGTCTCAGCTAGAAGGCCTGAGCAGTCTAAGTGACCTCATACAGTGGAACCAGGATGTATTCCTGGTGCACAAAAGCACTTTTGTGGGCATATCCCCCATGGAGGGATACTCCCTTAACCTAGAGACAGGAGAGAAGTCCTAGTCCCTACTCCAAATGACTTGACAGATTTATATGACCCTTCCTAGAGGGCATCACCCTACATGTGGGGGGGGGGAATAGAAGGGGATGGTGGTCATGGTGCATGTGAGGGTGGGAGAGAGGAAAACAGGGAGGGAGAGTAAGGAGGGAGGGAGGGGGAACTGGGATCAATATGTGAAATAAAAATAAAAAATACATTAATATAAAAAATAAGAAAGTACAGGAATTAGTTTGTGGAGTCTTTCCCTATGTTAAGCAAAGCATCTTAGGCCAGGCTTGTGACAGAGAAATTTATACATGGAGGCCCAGGGAGGCCATTTTGTGAATCTATAAGGTAAAGTCTAGATTGCACAGAAGATCTAAAGATGCTGGACATGCCAGAGCCATGAGGTACTTGGCAAGGAGAGCTTCTAACCAGCTGCGGAACCAGCTCAAGAGAAAGAAGTGTGTTGCAGTTGGCAAATCTGGAAGGAAAGAGCCATCTAATAAACGTTTTAAGATCAGACATGCAGTAGCAGAATTTGTAGTTTGCTTTTTTCCAGGGTTTCCTCCCTTTTTGTAATGGTAATGTATATTCTGTGCCATTGTATGTTGGAAATATGTGATCTGCTTTTTGATTCTGTTTTTATACAGGGTTGCAGTTAACAGAGTGCCTTGAGTATTCTGAGTCTCAGAAGAGACTCTGAGAGAGCATTGAGACTATGAATGACTATGGGGATTTTTGAAGTTGAAACCAAAGCATTTTGTATTATTATATAGCTACAAGCCTGTAAGGACCAGTGAGTGGTACTTTGAAAGAGAATAGTTGCCATGTGCTCATTTGTTTGACTTCTTATTGAGCGGTTAGTGAAACTCTTTAGGAAGGATTAGGAGATAGGTATTTTTGGAGCAGGTGTGATCTTGTTGGAGGAACTGTGGCACTGAAGCTTTGAGATTTCAAAAGCCCATGCATTATGTCTTTCTAGAGACATGCTGCTTATTACAGACCAGTGATGTGAAGCTTTCAACTACTGCTCCATGGACATGCCTATCTGCTTCCTCCATGGTGACAATGGTCTAACCCTTTCAAATTGTAGCCAAGTTCCCAACTAAATGTTTCTTTTTTACAAGAGTTGTCTTGGTCATGGTGTCTTCTCAGAGCAATAGAACAACAATTAAAAACAGCAGCAAAATGCATTTTAAAGTTTTGTGTTCAATTCTCATGCCCCAAAAGGACTAGTTTTATTTCCCTTCTCCAGGGCACTCCAAACAAATGTCCCTATGCCCATCTCGGGTGCTTTATTCACTCAGTATTTGTGTTTTCAACCATTTTAGTCTTTCTCTTTATGACTGTTTTTGAGTACTAAAAAGGACCCAGTTTGTAATGAGTTATGTTTATTCCATACTGAAATGGTTTCCTTAAAATATGTGAATATTTTCAATATATAGAATTAACCCTAGGTTTCAAATGTATTTATCCATACAGTAAATCAGGTACCTATGAGAGTAACCACAGTCTCATTAACTTTATCTCTAAGCAGGTGGAGTATTGCTTTCTCTATGACAGAAAAGGAAAGTCAAGAGTAACTTACATGCTTTTTAGTCCTCTAATGTGGCATAAGGCATTCAACTGATCATAATTTATGGTCCTGTTTAGTCTCAGGCCTGAAAAAAGAAATCAATTAAAGTGTGGGTAATTTTCTGTTATCTTATTAAGCAAGTGTGTAAATAGGATTTAATTGCAAACATTCATCATACTAAAAATATTCAATGATCACAAAGTGGGATATTTTATTCACAGTCTCCAGTAAAGAAGCACAAGTCAATATGATGACTAAGGTAGTTATAGAATTCACTTTTAAAAATGTTTTGATCATATCTCCTTCTCTTTCTCCTCCTGCTACCCTTCATCTATCACTTCCCCATGAACTTCATATATATTTATGTTTTCTTTATAATCCATTGAATCTAATTAGTCTCCACCTTTAAGCATGGGTAAAAGACCATCCACTGGAGATGAGCAAACTACCAAGGGGCATACCCTTGAAAAATTGGACTTTCCTTCCCCAAGAAGCTATTAATTGCTTATAGCTGTCAAGCTAAGGGTAGCCTCTCATTCCATGTTGTTTGGCTTGAATTTTTATAAGTCTTATGCAGGCAGCCACAGCTGCTTTGAGTTCATGAGTGCAGTTGTTCAGTCATGTACATAGACACTGATTTCTAGCAGTGTTCCTTGTGTTCTGAGCCTGCCACTCTTTTTCACTTCTCTTATGCAATGAATACCAAGCCTTTGGTGAAGAGTGTGTGATATACCTGTCCCACTTAGGGCTAAGTATCCCATAGTCACTTATTTTCTATGTATTGACCAGTTATAGGGCCTCTGGTTAAACACTGTCCACATACAAAGAAAAAAGTTACTCTGGTGAACTGCTCTAATCTTTTGGTGTGAGTGTTCAGAAAGCATCTTGATCCTATGTCTATTTAACAAAACAGTAATAGTCAGTTTCCCTCTAGGGTATATGGCCAGTTCTACAGCCAGACTTACTGAGCCAGGCATTTGTTTCCTCCTTTGAAGTAGGCTGTAACTCCAATTGGAAAGCCATTGGTTATCTCAATGACCATCATGCCACTGCTGTACCAATGACCATATCTTGCCACATCAGTATCTATTATAGCTCACAAGGTACAGAGCTATGGAAGACTATTGAAGTTTCTCTTCATACTGCCTACACAGCAATTTCTGTCCCTAAGAAAACTACCCAGCAGGGAGAAACCTTCTAGTTCAGTACCTGCTGTGTTTTTCCATGACCTGTAATAAATGTATGTAATGAGTCTTACCATTAAGTTCTTGTGAGCAACTAATAGCAATGTCCATAGCCTGTATTTTTTTTTTTGATTGTGGGGGGGGGAATCTCTGAACATACATAACTAAAAACTCAGACACTAGGATGCTGGTTTCGTGATTTATTAATATGGGGGAAAGCACAATACCCTGTTGTAAGGTGATGCTAATTAAAATCTTCAAAACCTTAATAAATATATGGAAGCTTACAATTAGGAGATTTATACATGGCTTTTTCAAACAGAATTTAATTGTATTAATCTGGAACCTGGTATGGTGATTTGTAGTTGTAGTAAATGGTAAAATTGATATGAATCATAATAATTTAAATTTCTCTTGGGGAAAAAAGTCTTTCAGAATTCTTTTCCAAAATCTTTAACATGCAGCCTGGCCCCAGAACTACCTTAGAAACAATTCAAAGGAATCGTCCCTTTTTCTATCTTGCATGTTTTTAGCTAGTCCTATATAGCTATGGAGACCCTAGCCAAATCTATGCAGGGACTCATTATTGACTGCTCATTCTTCAGAGCACTTTCCAGTATTAGGATCAATTTCCAATTCCTTATAGAATTCAAATATGTGAAAATCAAAGAAAAAAATCTTAAGAAAAGTCCTGCTCATAACAAAGAAGAGAAATAACTGTGATTTTCTCTCAGTGCCATGATGGGGAGACACCTTTCAAAAGAGGTAGAAAGATGGAATACAAAGTATGATACATGTCTTTAAAGTGACAGGCATTCATATAACAAGCATTCCAGCAACTCTAGAGCAATCAATTTTATTTGAGATATTATTAGAAATGTGAAATAGTGAATACTAACTTCTACATATTATTTCATTATTTATTGAAGTGTTATTGAAAAAATAGTTGATTTAATGGATTTCAAACTTTTTAAGACTTATTGGATAACCATATTCTAATCATGAGGAATTGGAATTTGGGGTGTACAAATTTATCCATTCTAATTCAGAGTTCCAGAGTCATAAAATTAGATTTTATATGGGTCCTGAATGATTTCAAAATTCAAAATTAGAAAACAGACACTGTTTTCTAAGTATGAAACTAAAATAAGGGGAATGTAAGCAGAAAATTCATTGCTATTCTAACATCATATTTTTTAATAAATCTGGAACTACTCTTCACATAACTTAAGTATATTTCTCAGGTAAACCTTAGCCAATGCAAGTGTTGGTAAACTGAGACCCACCCACATTCCAGAACCAGGTGTTTCCCCTAGCCTGCCTTCAACGATTCAGGGCCAGCAACCAAATCCAAAGCCTTTCTGAGTCCTGTACCCTTTATAAAGACCATGCCTGTCTGCTCTTTCTTTTCCATCTTCATTCACAACATTCCTTGGCCTTTCCATAACTATTTAAACCCTAGCAAAAAGACTGTATGACTTAGTTTTAGTTTCACATAGAATTATGTATTTTAAATGAACCAAATTATAGATATATACTTATATTTCTGGTGTGAACTATATGAAATATTAATCATAATAGACTTTCAAGTACATGGATTAGAAGGAGACTTATATGCAATACATGTTAATTCCTATTCCTCATGTGGTTGACTAGTAAGTTCAATAGTAACTCTAGTGAGTTGTATGAAAAAGTGGCTGTAGTGTGTGGAGTATTGTAGTGAAATATTCACCCCTCCTGCACCTGTCACACTGGCCGCGCCCATTGGGGGTGGGGACAGGGGTGGACATGACATGGAAGAATGAGGTCTCTTGTTCTCTTACTTGCTGGACAGAAACAGAGAGCATCTGGAGGCATCTTAGGGACCGGAACCTACTGGTGCTCATCTGTCTCTGTTGTAAGTTATTTCTCCCTAAGTAAACATCTGTTCAGCTTATCAGTTTTCCCCAATCCTTATTTTTCCACATTTCAGTATCCTAAAGATTTAGGGACAGAACTTAAATATGACAAATTATGATCAAAAATCAGGCTAGAAGAAATCTAATATCTACTATTTTCAGTACAATAATATATCAAAAAATTACAGAATAAATATTTTAAGAAAAAGAACTGCTAGCAATGAATATGGGAATTAAAATTCTACTTTTTTATCTTTTACAAAAATTACTTGTATAAAAAAAGCTACCAGGAGACTGAAGTTTCATACTTAGCTTGAAACAACGCAGTAAAATAAAAGACAGCCTAGACTATTCAGCACTTACAGGGTTGTAGAACTCTTAATTCATCAAAATATGTCTATATCACTGAATCTCTGCTTTTAGAGGTGTTTGTCACAAGGGTCCTTATATGAAGAGTTTTAGCTATGTGATAGATGTGGTATTTGAAAGCAGATTGTTTAAAAATGAAAAGACCATGAAATCACAACTATGGAAAGACCAGATGTTTATCTTTCCAACTGACCAAATTTATTAAAGAAATAAAACTTAAAACAGTTTCAAAAGCTGCAAAGTTTATGTTTGTCTTCTAATCTTGTTTTTCCCTCATTAAATGCTTTAGCCAAGCTTTTGAGAAAAACAGCAAGGGCTTAACCTTAGAATGGGGTTAAAATCTAGGATTTTATCCAGAGTATAAGTGAAAAAAGACTTAAAACTTATACCTATAAATTAATCCTACACTAGAAATCCACTGTGCAATTAAAAATCCCACTGTCTTTTGTCACACTTGGAATATACCCATTTACTCTTATTAAAATGGAAAAATTCTTGTGTTTTACTTTTTAATGTTTGTTCCAAATAAATGTGTCATCCATTTTGGATCTTTGCCACTATAGGATATTTTGTGGAGACAGCTCATAGTTGGACATTCCTTTCTCAACCTGATAGTTTATTCTGGAACTTTTTAATTGCTGAGTTGGGGTTTGTTATTTTCCTTAGGTGTAGTTGTGTCTATTGATATTCTGGTTGGTTGGATAATTGATGTTTCTTTTTGGTTTCTCCTCTGCTATCAGCATTAATAATTTATAATCTTATGGATTTGCATAGTAGATTCCCTTCCTCTCTCTTATGTTGGTTGTTTCTCTTATGAAATGGATTCTTTCCATTCACATCTAATTTGGTTGTCATGAATTGACATGAATCAGTTCTTAACTTGAAAGTTCTTATTTCTCTATCAATGTTGAGATAGCTTTGCTATACATAATGGTATCACTTGACAGTTACTTTAAGGATTGAAATATATCATTTCATGGGTGATTAGTTTTTTATTGTTTGTTCGTTTTGTTTGTTTATTTTTGTTTGGTCAGTTTGTCATAAGCCTAGTTCACCAAGGAAGAGAGAACTTCAACTGAGAGAAATTACTCCATTGTCTCCACTTTAGTTCTTGCTTTTTGGCTCCTGCCATGACTTCCCACTCTTTCTGTATGTTCCTTTCATATGGTTAAAAAATCATTTCCTTGCTGTTTTGCCTCATTGATCTACTTTATATTTGAGTACTAATAAACTTTAGAGGTGGGGTTCCTAAAAGTCTAAGGAAGCACCTTAAGCTTCCCAGCAAGGCAGGGTGGGGCTATGTCTCTGTCCCATCCCTGCTGATGTAATCACTCTGGAAATATTCTCACAAAAAAACTCAAAGTCACACCACAAACAACTCCACCCATGTCATTTATGCTTTATTAACAATAGCAAGATGCTCATGAACATATGAGTGGATAAAGAAAGTAGGTTATATATTCACAATGGAATTTTATTCAACCATAAAAATGTGAAGTTATTATATTTCTAGGAAAATTTAAAACAACTAGAAAACCTTATGCTAAACAAACTAAACCAATAAAATAGAAACACAAACACTGAATATTTTCTCCCATATGCTTATAAGTCATCCCAAATTTTAATGTGAATAA